TTTTTTTTGCACACATTCCATTAAATACATTCCATACTAGGGTATAATAGAAACACATCAAACCTGTAGCTATGTGTGAAATACCCAAGTTCAGATCTTTTTCCAATCATTTTCATTTCTGAGGACAATCCAATATTCAAATTCTCGTGTGGCGGAGGGACTGCTGCAACTGCAACGTCAGATAATGGGAAATAAAAAGTACACATTTGGGATTAGCTCGATAGTAGTTTATTGAATTTCGTAGGCAGTATTCCACGTTTATTTATGAGTCAACGTTATTACATTCATCAGTGTATCTAATATCTAATCACAAAATTATCCACATATTCTTACAACAAATACATTTATTCTCTGACAATGGTACTGTAAGGGGAGGGCAGAGGTTGGATTTATTTTTGTTATAGATTTTGGGACTTCGTTTTATTTGGGAAAACTGTCATTGACATTATCCTTACTGAGGGGCCCAACATCTAAAAGTAAACAAAGCCCCAAAGTGAGCATTGCGACATAGTATATGATGGCTGTATTTTCCGTATAAAGAGAATCAAATAATCAATTAGATATTGAGGATAAATATGTACGGCGAATATAAACAGGAGTTGGCTATTGATTTACATCCATATTATTATTATTTTTTTCTGTAATACACCAAATGATGGAAAACATGGAGACTTGTCGAGGAATTCTAGAATTGTTTACATCCGCCGCTCAGATCAAAAGGTCAGAGAAAACGTGGGTCGTGAATCTGCGGCGTATGGGTAACTCGCCTTATTCCTGTGGGAGACAAAAAATAAAGAAAAATATTAGTTTTCATCATTCCAGAAAGATGGGGGGGGGGGGGGAATGTGAGTAATTGTGACTATCATTCCATGCATGCAACACTAGATGATTTATATGAATTTCGGCAACGTAAATAACATGGGTTGTTTATACGAATATCGGCAAGGTAAATATCATGGGTTGTTTTTACTTCTGAACAATATTTGTCTAACTCAGGCAGTCAGGCATGAAGAAAATTAAGCATACTACACTGCGTTTCATCGATTGCGGAGATTACTTTCTGGCTCGTCAAGAGGCTACTGCGTTTGCATCACCAATTATTCATTTTTATTCATGGTTGTTGAACAGTATTATTGCTCTCTCTCTCTCTCTCTCTCTCTCTCTCTCTCTCTCTCTCTCTCTCTCTCTCTTCTCTCTCTCTCTCTCTCTCTCTCTCTCTCTCTCTCTCTCTCCTCTCTCTCCCTCATCCCACCTCTCCCCTACTTACATTATAAGTAATTCACTTCTTTTCGGGTCCGGGGAACCAGCCAGCGCAGGCCTCAACAGCGATCTGGCAGGCAGAGGCGAGGGCCTTGCTGGGTTCGTAGACTGCAAGAGAGAAGAGAGGACATTGCGTAATTATTAAAGGATAATGATTGGCATTAACTTTTGGTGATTGTGTGTGTGTGTGTGTGTGTGTGTGTGTGTGTGTGTGTGTGTGTGTGTGTGTGTGTGTGTGTGTGTGTGTGTGTGTGTGTGTGTGTGTGTGTGTGTGTGTTCATGTATGCATTTGCATATAAGCACTTAAATATGTTGCCTAAACTTTAAAACAGTGTGCACATATAGCTATAAGTCTACATAGAAATCACCAGTAAGACGCATAACACACGACACAATTTAACATATAATTCGATAATCCTCTACCTAATATAACAATCCCATACACCTGATCCTGTATATAAAATAAATGCGTAGACATCTGTACGCCAATCTTGATAGCTGATTCGTCTGCCTAATATAACAATCCTGTACAGCTCTTCAATCGAACCCTGTATATAAGATAAATGCGTAGACATCCGTGCGCTAATCCTGACAGGTGATTCGGCAATACCAAATCCGTGAAGCAAACCCATTCGGTTTCGTCTTCCCCTGAGGCGAGGACAGCGATCGGTCCGTATATCCCCGTAGGCCACAGCTGTTATCGCGGAAAGGCGGCTATTTGGCAGGTCTTCTCCCAAAGGTCGGATTATCTCCCGTCGCGCTACACCATCTGGGATCACCTGTTCTCGATCCACTCCTATCCGCTTGCCGCCTGGGTGTGGGTTCGATGACTTCCCATTTTGAATTTCCCGCGCGCCATCCTCAGCGCTGTTGCTCGACCCGGATTTAAGGCACTCCTATTCTTATTCTCACCTCCAGATCTACCAAACTGTTCATAAATTCCACCTGTTTATGTTCCACGTGTTCCCCCCCTCACCCCAGCTGGTGCCACGCCTCTCCTCTCCGCTGGACGCACCACCTGAAGAAGCAGACTCCCTCAGCTCTTCTCATACCACCTGTGTGATGACTATAAATCCGGGTGGGATTATGGTGCGACAGTTATGAGTTGAGGGGACGGTTCGATACGAAGGAGATAATGGGGCGATAACGCAGCGGAAGAAGGAGAAAGGGGGAGAGGATAAAGAGAGGTTGGAAGCAAATGAAGCAGGAAGGAAAGAGAAAGAAGGAAGAAAGGAAGTGAGATAAGTAATATGGGAATAAGAAGATGTGGGGTAAGGGGAGAAGTGGCGTAAGAAAAGTGAAAAAAAAAACATGAGAGACGGAGAAAGGAGGAAGAATAACGACGATTGGAAACGAACCAAACGCGAGGAAAGAAGAAAAAAAATGGAAGTGGGAATAAGGAAAATTGATAACGAAACAAATCACTATAAATCAACCAAAGAAAGTAAATAGCAAAAACGTAAATAGGAAAAAAAATCATGTTGCGTGTTGAGAGAGCAAGATCATTTAGGGTGCAAAAGAATAATGGAAAATAGTGAATAAAAAACACACGGGGGCCACAAACTCATTACCAGCGTCATCATCACTAACGACACAAAACGAGATTCCACAGCAAAGCCTTGTAATCGTGTCATCTCCTTCATCTTCACTTCCTTCTGTATATCCGTAAATCTATCTATTCTATTCATCAATTGCTGTCTATCTATCAATACACACACACACATATACACACACACTCACACACACATATATATAACTGTATACCTGTATATCTATACCCATATAAGGCATATCTAAACACAACTTCCCGTTAAAGAAGATGACGTATCAGATGATGACGTCATAGGTATCAGATGATGACGTCAAAATGAAAGGTCATCTCCCCCTCCCCTCCCCCTGCCCCCCTCACCTATTTCACAGAGGGCGCTCGAGTCGTCAAAGGAAAAAAAAATCTTTAGTATTATTCACACCTCTATCCTCGGCGTTAAATGGCCTGTCTGGGGTGGAAAAGATATTAGCATTTAGGCCTTGTTTGAGGGGGAGGGGGGGGGATGCGTGGTGGTGGGAGGGGGGGATATTGCGTGATGGTGGGAGGGGAAGTGAGAGTGAGATTGGACAGAAAAGGAGAGATAAGGAGAGGGAGAGAGATTGAGAAAGGGAGAGAGGAAGAGAGAGACAGAGAGAGGAAAAGACAGATAGAAAGATAGATAGATAGATAAATAGAGATAGATAGAGATTGAGAGAGAGAGAGAGACAGACAAACGGTCAGACAGACAAGCATACAGACATCTTCACAGAGAACGACAGAAAAAGAGACATAGAAAGAGAGAACCAGAAAGAGACTGAAAGAGAGAGGGAGGGAGACAAGAGAATTCTGATGCATGGGAGAGAGGGAGAGAATGGGAAACAAGCGCGGAAGATGAATGGGAATGAGATAGACACGAGAAAGGCCAATTAAAGGGGAAGAAGGGAGAGTTGAATAATTTAGGAATAAAGAAGCAATATCGTATCGAGTTAATGATGTTTATCAAGTACAGACTCGAAGAACGATATGGATAGCAAGATTTTGATAAACAGGGGAGAGAGAGAAAGAGGGCAATAAACAGGACTCAGAAAGACCGTAAATCAGATGTTTATCTTAATTTTTATCTAATTATTTTTCATGTTACGAAGATGGAGGAGGTGGCAGTTTGGATAAAGAGGGATCTGTTAATGCGCGGAAAGGGAATTAAAGGATAAGGGTAACGATGAGAGAAGGCGAGTAATAACAATAAATATTAGAAGAGGTCATAAATGGGAATAAAAATGAGGAGGGAGGAGGTACAATACGTCATTATGCGATCTTTTTAGAATGTCAGAAAAAAAGGAAAAATGAAAGAGAGAATAATGAGGATTGCAGCTCAAGATTTTTTCCCCTTGATCAGACATGGTAATGAATGTAGATCGTGGAATGAGACTGGGGGAAGAGGTGCTGAAATAGATTACCTAGTAAATCTACCTCATATTCCTCATTATACGTCTCCTCTGTATCAACCAGATTCACCACATCCGCTCTAACGCACTCAACCACGTCAACCACATCATCTTACTTCTCTCTGAACCATCCCTCAACCACACTCAACCACATCAACCACATATGGTCTTACTACTCTTCGAACCACCCTCAACCACATCATCTTACTCTCTGAACCATCTCTCAACCACATCAACCACATCATCTTACTACTCTCTGAACCATCCCACGACCACCAGCATATTCCACATCGTCCACAATAACTACCACAAGATCATAATTAGCGCCTCATCCACTTAGCCACCCATCTTCACACTTAACTCCCCCCACCCCCCCACCACCCCACACCTTTCCTCTCCTCACCCGATGCAAATCCACCCCACACATCTTTCCTCACTCACCTCCTCTGCCTTTTGCTTCACTCCCTTCCTAATCCCCCCATTTTTTCCTTCACCCTTCCCTATGCCTCCTCTCCCGACGTCCTTCTCCCTCCCCTATCTCCCGACTCCATTCCCTTTTCCCTTCCTCCCTCCCCCTTCTCCCTTCCTCTTTTTCCCCCTCAACCCTCTTCCCCATCCACTATCCCTCTCCCCTTCAACCCCTCTCCCCCATCCCTCCTCCCCTCCTGACCCTTTCCCCTCACAACCCTCCCCCTCCCCTTCCATAACCCTCCCCTATCCCTCATCCCCCATAACCTCCCCATCCCTCTTCCCCATAACCTCCCCCTATCCCCCCCACCCTCCCCCTATCCCTCCTTCCCCTCAACCCTCCCCTTATCCCTCCTTCCCCCCTCAACCCCTCTCTCCCCCCATCCCCCCATCCCCCTCTCCCCCTCATCCCCCCCCTTCCCTCCCCTTCCACCCCCATCCCCTCCCCTTTCCACCCCATCCCCTCACCCCCACTCACCAGCATCGCCGCCGGAGCGCTTTCCGAAGATGGATCCGTTGAAGGGGGTTTCCTGTACCCGGCGGATACGGGCTCGGTGAACACGGCCAGGACGACGAGGACGAGGGCGACGGCCAGCACGACTCGGGCTTGAACGGACATTCTGCGGGGAGAGAGAGAGAGAGGAGGGGGTGAGCGCGGTGTCGAGAGGGGGTGAGAGAGAGAGAGGAGGGGGTGAGTGCGAATGTGGAGAGAGGGGTGGGGGGAGGGGAGGGGGTGAGCGCGGGTGTCGAGAGGGGGGGGGGGGGAGGTATGAGAGGGTGAGCGCGGGTGTCGAGAGGGGTGGGGGTGGGAGGGGAGGTAGGAGGGGAGAGGGGGTAGGAGGGGGAGAGGGGTGGGGAGGGAGGGGAGGTAGGAGGGGAGGGGGTGGGGAGGGGAGGTAGAGGGGGAGAGGGGGAAGGAAGGTAGGAGGGTGAAGGGGGAAGGAAGGTAGGAAGGGGAGAGGGGAGAGAGAGAGGAGGGGGTGAGCGCGGGTGTCGAGAGGGGGGGGGGGGAGGTAGGAGGGGGAGAAGGAGTGGGAAGGAAGGTAGGAGGGGAAAGGGGTGGGAGGGAGGTGGGGAAGAGTGAAAGGAGGTGGGAGGAGAAGGGGGAGAGGGGTGGGGAGGGGTGGGGAGGGGGAGGGGAGGAGGAGGTAGGAGGGTGAAGGGGTGGGAGATGGATAGGGGAGAGGTGGTGGAGGAAGGGGGAGAGGGGGGAGGGGAGGTACGAGGGTAAAAGGAGGGAGGAGGAGAAAGATGATATAATAATAATGATAAAGATATAATGATGATAATATGATAAAGATATAATAATAATAATGGTAAAGATGATAATGATAAAAAAAATAGCAATAATAACAACAGCAATAATAATACGCAGCAATAATAATAACAATGGCAGCAATAACGGCAATGACAATAACATCAGGTCCCTCCTCAAAGGGCGCAGGGAATCCAAATGAGGTCAACCCGAAGCCCCGCCCATGCAGGAATCATGGCCGTGGGTGACGCCCCGATGTAAGCCCGGCGTCGACTCCCCCGAGGCTATAAGCTTTTCATCGGACTCCGTTCCCGCAAATAATACCTAGGCCACAAAGGCGGTTTTTGGGGGAGTGCGGAAGGTAATATGGACTTTACGGCACGTGTGTGGAAGGTGTGACATTTCGGTTTGGTTTTGATTATCTTTTTTTTTTTGCTTCTTTTTGGATGGAAAGGGTTTGATCTTTTTCATCGTGGGATAAGATGAAAGTACGTACGTATCCATGTTTGTCTTTCTATATTTGTCCATCTATCTATCTATACATTTCTCTATCATCCCCTATCTACCTCTCTCTCCACATTTCTCTGCCATCCCGCATCTCTCTCTCTCTCTCTCTCTCTTTCTCTCTCTCTCACTCACTCCCTCTCTCTCTATTTATCTATCCATATATGCATATTGTTGCTGAAAATTCCATAGCTTCTATTTTTTTACAAAAACTTTCCTGTTGTGCTGATCATGCTAATTAGACAATCCTATGTGTAATTACTAATATCAGCTAGGGAATAATTTGCATGTAAGAGTCCAATACATATCTACATTAAACAATACACTTGATTTTTGTTTCTAGAAAAAAGCACATGCAATATCCCGATGAAAACACGCATTTTGTTACTCGGTGTATTTGCCGAGTGCATTGCAACTTGTCTGGAATACTAAGTACGGCAGGACGAGAGGGACGAGGTAATTTTCCTGGTTTTATTTTCATCGCTACAGACACTATCGCCACGCCGCTTATATAACACAGGAAATGCAATATAACGGCTTCAAATCTGAAAAAAAGCAATATAGATACTTTTATGGAAGAATTTGCTAAGGGCAATTAATGAGATAATAGTGTTTTCAGGTCTGCAAGAATGAGAGAGAGAGAGAGAGAGAGAGAGAGAGAGAGAGAGAGAGAGAGGAGAGAGAGAGAGAGAGAGAGAGAGAGAGAGAGAGAGAGAGAGAGAGAGAGAGAGAGAGAGAGAGAGAGAGAGAAGAGAGAGAGAAGAGAGATCAGGAAGACAGAAAGTGAAGAGAGAGAGGAGAGAGAGAGAGAGAGAGAGAGAGAGAGAGAGAGAGAGAGAGAGAGAGAGAGAGAGAGAGAGAGAGAGCGTCTCTTGCATAATGGCGTGAGAGCAAAGAGACTGAAATGGGTCTTAAGGGAGAGGTTCTTCCCAATATTTGAGAGTGCTTACGCTCTCCCTCTCCCCCTCTTCCTTCCTTCCTCTCCCTCCCTCTTCCTTCCTTCCTCTCCCTCCCCCTCCCCGTCTCCATCTCGCCCTTGGGATGCGAGATTGGATGAAAATTCGCTCAAAAGACTCCGTTGCCCTTAGTAACAATACTCAGCGGGTGTTTACCGAAAAAAAAGGTTTAATGGTCCTATTACTTTTCAACGCTTGTTTCTATCTTCTCCTGAATTCCAATCTCTCTCTCTAAACGATTTAAAAAGACATAAACCATTTTCAGTGATTATTTCTAACACGAATACACTTAAATCTTAGCTCATATGCTCCTACCATACTTTCTCAAGCAGATTGGTATCATACGGAACGGTGGTCGCGAAAGCGGTCTACTGTAGTTCTATCACTGAAGATTTTACACTTGAATAGGAATTCATTTAGCAGGATGTTCTCCTTCCTTCACTAACCCAGCGCGGACAATGAAGCGTCTTCTCCCTTCTTTTTTTTTTAGTGGAAATAACAATAGTCAAGGATTTCTGAAGGAGACTGTGGCTTGTGGGTGCAGCTCGTCATGTTATGAAATTGATTCTCATTTTTTAAAGAATTCTCCTCTCTCTCCTTTCTTTTCCCATTTTCAGGATGGTGGTAGTGGGGGAGGGTTAGGGGGGGGGGTCTTAAAGCAAGAGAAGGACTTTCATCTCGTAAATAAACATAAACAGAAGTACAAGTAGTGTTGGCAAAAATGATGAATAGCACATGTGGGCATAGTTACTGTGGACTGTGTATGTGTATGAGTTACTGCCTGTAATAGTTATGTGTCCGTATATACCTCTACGATTGATGTATGGCTCTGTGTGTGTTTGTACTGTATGTATGTGTTCCCGCCAGAAACGGCTGATATTACTCCCTCGGCCTCTCTTCCTGGCTGACGTGTGTTGAGCAAGAAGCGACAGGTGCCATCTCAAGTGTCAACTTCCGTTTCGTCGTGCTGGTTCCCCTAATGGCAGTGATTAGAGCAGCGCGGGTTTTGTGTTTTGCTCTGTGTTCTGCTGGGAGGCGTTCTTTGAAGTCTGTGTGTGTGCGTGTGTGTGTATGTGTGTGTGTGTGTGTGTGTGTGTGTGTGTGTGTGTGTGTGTGTGTGTGTGTGTGTGTGTGTGTGTGTGTGTGTGTGTGTGTGTGTGTGTAGAAATGCACGCGGAACACACACACGCACACACACACATACACACGCACACACACACACACACACGCACACACACACACACACAGACTTCAAAGAAGGCCTCCCCACACAATAACCTCCACAAACAGCCCCTCCCCTCCCCTCCACACACGCCCGCACCAACAGCCCCTCCGCCCCCTCCACCCAATTCCCGATGGCCACGCTAGAGCGAGCGCCTGGCCACCCCGAACGGAGATGGAAATGAGACACGGCGATATTTTCAATCGAGAATGGCCACCCCGGCGATCCAGTCAGCTCGAAGGCTCGAAGCTCCGTGTTGGATTACCTTTGAAAACACGAGGTGTTTCGGTGGCGTTCGAACGTAAAACGATACAGTTGGAGTTTCGTGTTGTGCGGATAGTGGTAGGTGTTGGCCGGATAAGGGTCTGTTTTGGACCTGGATTAATGTTTGAATTGTATATCCACGTAGAGAGATGAAGGCAACGTAGACTACCGGTTCCAAAGCCGCCGGAGTCGAAGTGAAAGAGATTCTAGATTCAAAGAAAGCCCCGGACGATGTGTTCGAAGAGAGGTCGTCTTTATCATTTGAACTTTCTCTATTTATTTATTCATTTATTATTTATTCTCTATTTATTTATTATTCTCTCAATCAGCCAATCTCTGTATCTCAAGAATCCATCCAACAGAAGTCAGCTGACCATATAATCCCGTGTACACGTGTGAATATTTGAATCAACGTTCGCGTACGGGTGTGTGAATATACCTCCATTTATTCACGTAAGACCATTTGAGCGCACATACACATAACATTTTAATTACACATTCCACCACCGCAGACATTTATCCCGCTGGATCATGGCCGCGCACCGAAGCTTGCATTAGCCATCACACTAATAATACACGTAATGGAACCATCTCTGTGAGTGACACTGGGTTCGAAAGATATAATAGAACGGGGAAGAAAAGTGCCAAGCGGTTTATGAGGTTTGCGGGAAGCAGAAGAGAGGAAGAGAAAGGGGAGAGGGAGGGGGGAGGGGGTGGCAAAGGAGATTCGTAGATGAACAGGCATATAGACAAGGAAGGTAAGGGGAAGGGAGGGTCATAGATAAACAGCCACATAGACTAGGGAGGGAATGTGAAGGGAGATTCATAGATGAAATAGGCATAAAAAAACAAGATGTGAATATATGTAGTAGAGCCTTGTCTTAGGGTTAGAAGGTCTGTGACTTCTTTCATAACCGTAAAAATAATTGTACTCCGGTCACATTCTGGAAAAAAATATCAACTATTTTACAATGCCAGATTTTACTCCGTGATACAAAAGTAAACATTAATTACCACCTCTAATCGACGCCGAAGCCTGTGCTCTGGCGACGCATTCGGATAATTCTCGCGGGGTTTAAGGGAGTCTTAAATTCGATTCTTTGTGGTGACTTTGTAATACTTTATTTATTTATTCATTTTCCTATCCCCAAACTACTAACTTCAAAGATCGTCTTGTTCTTCTCATTCTTCCTTTCCGTTCACCTCGCTTATCTTGATAGTTCATGATTCCGACTTATAGAGAGAGAGAGAGAGAGAGAGAGAGAGAGAGAGAGGAGAGAGAGAGAGAGAGAGAGAGAGAGAGAGAGAGAGAGAGAGGGAGAGAGAGAGAGAGAGAGAGAGAGAGAGAGAGAGAGAGAGAGAGAGAGAGAGAGAGAGAGAGAGAGAGAGAGAGAGAGAGAGAGAGAGAGAGAGAGAGA